CAGAGGGCACGTTCTCAAAAAAAACCAGCAAACTTTTCATATGTACACGTGACTGGGAACAGTCGAGGACTTTAAGCTGTCACTGGATAAATATCTGGGGCGCTGCTAGACCGACCACCGGAGGAGATGGCACGTGACGAGTTGCCACGGCCATGTTGAGGGGTGTCAAGTGGGTGGTGTATGGTGACAGGTGCGAGTGTAATTGATTTTGGAGTTGAAATGAAGTCCTGGGAAGAGTGGCAACCCAGCAGTAGGCTCCGCGAGGTCCCTGCAGCACGGCTGAAGCCAAACGCTCGCTGCTAAATAAAAAGGTAACCTGCACGCTGTTTGCATGCGCGGATTAAACTTGTCATGTTACAGGTTTAGCTGTAAATTTCCTCTCGTTAATTATGCATAAGCGTCTGCTTTTGTTTGTGCAGGCAGCAGCACACACACGCACACGCTGGTTACAATTGACATTGATGCAGCGGGTTTAAATAAGCTCCGGAATGCGGTTAAACCCTTCTTGAAAGAGTGAATAAGTACAACCCGTAAAAACAAAGTTTTTCACTCTAAATCCTTTATATGCGTGGCGGCTAGAGTCCTCTCGTCCTCTGGCTTGAGATGGCTGCCACCTATGGGTCAGATGATTGTCTGCCAGCATTAAGCAATTGGTAATTAAATATTTTAAGAAATTTCCCTAAAAAGTGTAACATTTGGGAGAAAAAAAATTTACGAAAATTAATTGTCACGCACAACGAGTCTGTGTGGAAAATGTCAGCTCGACTGGATCACGGGAAGTGGGTTAAAAAACGACCAAAAGGTTTGCACGGTCGTAAGCAAGCAATCAAGCACGCAAGCACGCAAGCAAGCAAGCAAGCGAACTTAATAAAAATTAACCCGTAAAACAAAGTTTTTCACTCTAAATCCTTTATATGCGTGGCGGCTAGAGTCCTCTCGTCCTCTGGCTTGAGATGGCTGCCACCTATGGGTCAGATGATTGTCTGCCAGAATAAAGCAATTGGTAATTAAATATTTTAAAAAAAAATCCCAAAACTGTAAAATTTTGAAAAAAAAATTTCACGAAAATTAATTGTCACGCACAACGAGTCTGTGTGGAAAATGTCAGCTCGATTGGATCACGGGAAGTGGGTTAAAAAACGACCGAAAGATTTGCACGGTCGTAAGCAAGCAAGCACGCAAGCACACAAGCATGCGAACTTAATATAAAGGATTTAAAAAGGAAATTGTCTGCGGAGGACGGGTAACCCTCAGTCGATTGATAATTCACTGTGAAAAAAAAAATCAGCTTTTTGTTCCTGGGTAGCAAGTGTTATTTTCTAATTGCTTATGACTCAAAAGTACAAAAAATAGCTATTATTCCCCACAAACTTTGCTTTTGTGACCAGGGCAGTGATATTTTGAAATGTAACTATTTTCAATGAGTAAACGTGTAAATTGGTGTTATTCCTTCACGTAAAGTCCTGGTCACAAAAGCAAAGTTTGTAGGGAATAATATCAATTTTCTATACTTTTGAGGTATAAGCAATTAGAAAATAGCACATACTACCCAGCAACAAAACTATGTTAATGCGTGTAATGAGTGTGCCCCGTGCCTCGCCAAAATAGTAGTAGCAATAATCACAAAATGATATTAGATGGAGATGCTTTAAAAAATAAACTGCTGATTATAAAGGACCATGAACCAAGTATGCAAATAAGTGGGCCTCGATACCAAAATGGTGACACGGTTTTGGAAATGAGGCGTCAACAAAAGTTAGAGAGGTTAAATTTCGATGTAAAGCTTTCGTGACTGCAGGGATTCATCTTCTTGGTTCTTTCGGTAAAGTCACGTAGAAGGGAAATAATAAAATAATAAAAATAAAACATAATAAAATAATTCTCACGACGTTTCGGCCACAAAGCAAGCAGAGGTTGCCGGCACTGTGGTGTTTTCCCTTCACACGTCGCAGTCACCGTGTCCGCTCTGTCTGCCGCTCTGTCTGCCACGGATGTGCCCGAGTAAACACGAACAAATGTATTCATTCCAGTAAGATGCAGCCAGCTATGGCTGCAGAGTTTGGTAATACGTGTTGTTTACGTCGTTTATTGTAAAAATTAGGTCACATTTTCTATGACCACTGTTTCATTGCTTTTATGGCTTTATTTTTGTCATTTTCGATAAGTTTTTTGGTTTGGCCATGTTTGTTTGTTGTAGTGCAGAGTTAGACTGATGGCCTTAATCTAAGTTGTCTTGTGGTTGTTGTTGTTTGACTTGCATCCCACTGGGATTTTTGCACATTTTTGTGTACGGTGCCTTTTCTGCAATATTTTACTGTCTTTTCTTGGATTTTCTGTTTGCACTCAGTCACATATTCACTTTAAGATGTTTTTTGTTCATGTTTTTGTTTTTTGTTTGTTGCGGTTGCACCCGATTCAAGAGCCGAATGGCTCACAGGGCTATACCTAATAAATGAACTTAAACTTGAACCAATAAATGCACGGCGTGCCTTTATAATCTGTGTCTATTTAAACATGCCTCATACCACTCCCAGTTCAACATTTCCTAAAATAATAATATGAGTGCCTTTAATCAGTACATTTTATACCAACTGCTGCCGCTGAAAAAAAATATAACAGTTCATATATACAGTTTATTTTTACTGATGCTTGAGCATTATTATAATGATTCCTTGAGTAAATATGATACACAATTAACTTGCACTCAATAAAGCAATTTATTGCACTGTTCTCTGGATTTTGGAAAACATCATTATTAGTGCAGTGCTCGGAAATGCACACACATTCCGTGTGACAACGCGATGAAGGTCCTGTAATTGCGAACAAACTATTAGGGGACTCTGATATATATATTGAGTCTGATTTATATGCACAACCAGACCAAAGTATTTTTCATTTCAATGTTTTCAATTTCATATGGGAAAAAAATGCGTGTCTCATGCAGCGGTTCTCAACCCATGGGTACAGTGCAAACGCTTTTCAGGATGAGGATGAGAGGGGGGGGGGGGGGCACAGCTTGTGGCATGGATGCCGTGCAGGAGAATTACGTGAATGTGTGCGGGGAACGTCAGCGCCACGTTGCAGTGACGAAACGCACACTGAGACACAACGTGAAATATGTCTTGCTTTCACCATGTTGATGCGTAGGTGTGGGACATGGGGTCTCTCTTTTTTGCATTGTGTTTTTGTGAACGGGGGGTGAGGGGGATTAGTGGTTGATTGGGGGGGGGGGGCGTCATACCAAAGAGGTTGTGCATCAAATTGATGCGTAATTTGTATTCTTAGTCAAACGTGTAACCAAAAGTCAAAATTCAAGCCATGCAGTGGGTACAGTTACTTAGAATACAAAATATAGTATCAGATGTTAACTTGCTTTTCCATTATCAAGAGAAAATAAATCAGAAGGAAACAGTCTGAATGTTTCCAAAGGTGTTCTTTTCAAAGGTGTAACGTGCTTGGTCTTCAGAGACAGACTTTAACAAAATATATGGTAGATGTCAAAGATTTGGAGAAAAAAATAACTTCAGGTTGGAAGATGTACCGAGGCTCCCAGAAGGCCATGCGGGGAGGCTCCCACAAGGCCATGCGGGAAGGAGTGTGGCACAGTTTAGCATCAGATATAAATGAGTGTGGTCGTGTCGCTACAGTTCTTTGCGGTGAGTACAATGTCTTCAACAACAATCGGCGCTACGCCTCTCTAAATAAAATTAACGCTGAGCCGATTTCACATTCTGAGATGCAGCGGTGAATGGGACACCCACACCCCGAAACTTGCAAACGTCTCGGAACGGGAAAGGGTTATCATGCTTGTTCAGTCATCCCAGAGAAACGTGTTTCTAGCATAATAGCTGTTAAAATGTTATCTTGTGATGAAGCAATCAGCATAGTTGGTGGAGATGTAAACTCCCTACAAGGCATATACATATATTTGGTGAAACATTGAGCCTTCTTGTAAAATGAAACAAAAAGCCCAGTGTTGCTTATCCATGGTCTACAGCTTTAATGGCATCCCATTTTGAAAGCGTTTAGAGGGATAATCATCTTTATTAGATAATTTTGGACACCCTTCTAAATAATATATACTCCATCATAGAGGTGTTTGGGTTAGATCGCGTAAATATGTAAATGTGTCGTTAAAACCCGCCACCACCCAACACAGCAGATGCTGTACTAGTGACGAATTGCCACGTTCTGTTCACGTGACAACCCTTACTAGTTGGCTGTGTCGAGTGGTGGCGAGGTTTAATGACACGTTTATATATTTATGCAATCTAACCCAAAAACCTCTATTATGAATGAAATTGGTCGCGAAAGCCTATGAGTTAAACTATAGATATTCCATCCTCAGGTAATTATCCATGTGAAATATTTGATGAAAAAATAACCAAATCCACCGTGCAGATGCCACGCATCACGCAAATTGAAAAAAAGGGCGTTTGTGGAAACTGAAATATTACGAGTGAACCTGGTGTGTGCCGTACATTAGTACGGTTGGCTACGTACGGTGCGAAAGAATCCCAACATACGCAGATACATACCCTTAGGTTTTTCGGTAAAGTCACGTAGGTAAAAAATAAATAATAATTAATATAATTGAAAAAATAATAAAAATAAAATAATAAATCACGACGTTTCGGAGGCAACACAAGTCTCCGTCATCAGGTGGGACCGTCACAGCTAAATTTACTGTCTCAAGTGAGGCAAAATTCCAAGAGTCAAGCTCTTAAATACAACGTGGGGGGGTGGGCGGGCTACGTGACTTTACCGAAAAAACAAAGAGTATGAATCCTTGCAGTCACGAAAGCTTCAAATCTAGAATACGCAGATACGTACGTGTCCGCTCGTCACCCGTCGACGCGATATGTTTGCGTTGTGCGAGAACGGTCACATATTTTGTCGTTTTCATTTTTGCGAATAGGATTTGGACCAATCGCGCCCCTCCCCCCCATGTGCTTGTTTGGCACGAGCGAGCAAGGTTGGAATCGCGTTCGGGTCCTCACCTCGCACCATTAGCTCCGCTGTCGCCACGGCCTGGTCCACGACCGTTTGTGCCCAGCACGTGTAATTACCGCCGTGCCTCAGCTGGATCTTCTTTATCGTCAGGTCGCCGAAATTCTGCTTCTGCCACTGGATGTTTCCGTGAGAAAAAAAGACGGGTGCAAAGCATTTAAGAGCATGACGCACCGATTTGCAACATTCTCGCCCTGTGCCCTTTGCTGTCAAAATGTGATTCATTTCACATAAAAATCGAGTGTGCATTATAGGAATTTTAATGAAGTGGAATTTTTTTTTTTACATTAATACGTTGCTTAATCTGATGTTTCGTGGATTTTGTCATTTATAAAAAAAATAGTTTTTTTTCCCTCCTGTAATTATTTTAAAATACCTTCAAGTGAAAACAACTTTTCCAGCAAAATGTTAATCACAAGACTGAAGTCCATTTGAGAGAGCACTCACAATGTCGAGTGCTTCTCTTCCGGCCCCGTGAAATGACACCATGAGCATCGGCAAAAAGAAAGCCAAACTTTTGCCCAAGGCTGGAAGTCAAGGAATAATTTAGGACTGAACTCGGGCAGAAACGGCTTCAGCAGTGGCTCTTAAGGTGAAATAAAAGCCGCGCTATTCGCGCCCTTGTCTCTCGAAAGCACTTTTGATCCTTGTATCGGTTTTAGATGATTTTTTTTAAATGTATCCGGTGTAAATATATCAGTGTATTTGCAAGTGCCAAGTGAATTATTACATCGGGTCTTGTGGAGGTACTCATCCAGCAGTGGATTAATCATGGCTGCCGTTGATGACGACGGGACAATTCTGCGTGTGTTTATAGAAACTCTTATTTTTAGTAACTATATTCTTCAGGGATATAGTTACTGTGGTATATCAGATGAAGCACAACATATTTCAGAAATGCTGGCTTGCGTTCAAAAAGGGCCTCAGACTTGATAAACGTAATGCAAGTAGCTCTTGCGTTAAACTAGTCATCCAGTGGAGTGTTTTTCAGTCGAGCAAATTACATTTCCAATTTCCAAAAATGTGAATATTTCATATGCGCTCATAATTAAACACCGTACTTTTCCGAATATTCTAAGCTACGCTGTTTGATTTTTTTTGTAATGCCACTGATATTTACAGTCACCAGATGTCTTATGGGGCTTTTCAAAGATTCATGGTATTAAACAGCTAAAGGTTAATGTATTTTCCTTGCGATATGAAAGAAAGAATGGGTTGAAAGGAAAGCCTGTTATATATAAATGTAGCAGAGTTCTCCTGAATGATATTAGTAATGGGAGATGGTTTTTAAAGCTTACCCGAAAATATAAAAACTACTTTTTTGCGTGCATTTCGATATTTACATTTTATTTATTAGCACGTTTAACCTATACAGGAAATGAAACACTCCTGTAGAATTATACAGATATTGATGATTCTATTTAATGTGTATGTCAATTTTAAAGGGTTATATATATTTGATTTTCATTTCAAGCAACTTGAAAGCAAATGACTGAAATTGCTTTTAATGTATGTAAATAATTGTCTATGCTTTGAAGATTGCTTCCTGCTAGCTATGCATAATAATAATGACATGAACATCATTTGGGCATGAACTTCGCCCTCAGTACCTGGAGTCCTTAACTCGGATAAATTAATATTTTATGAGAAGCAAGATAACATGCAAGCAGTTTTATATCCCTATAATACAATGTTCAGGGTGGAGTGGTGGTGCCTTTGTTAGTGCACTACACTACGAGCCTGGTAATCTCAGTTCAATTGCAAAGCCACTGTCTAGCAGTGGTGATGAGTAATACATGAACAAGTTCTGGGATCCCGTATTCACCAATCCGGACAGCACCAGCATGGTGAAGTATGGTCAGACAACTCTCATTACTGACACAAAGTGGGAAGGCCTTATAGACTGTCAAAGGGCTCTCATTGCTATAATTATTATAATAAATATAATTTTCAACATCCCGCTCAATCGCTTACATGATCGGTACTGTATAGATCACACTTGGATTTCTATCACGAGACAGAGGCAGATGTTTGTTGCACGTGTCAGAGCATGGTGCTGACATTGTGAAGATTCCAAGTTCGAATCTGGCCAGCCACCCGTAACATTAAAGCGGATCCTCACGCGTAGCACACTGCTGCTCTCAACCGGGTCACCAACAACTGAATTAAAATACCACATTTTGATGTTTCGCTAAATTTGTCAAAAATATGCTTTGAGAAATCCCACAAACGTTGGTCGGGCTGCCGTGCGGCGAGCACACATCTACAGGAGGGTGCGTGTGGGTACGTGCAGTGCCTCTGGAGTGGGTGTGGAGTGACCTGTATGAGGTGTGGCTAGCCACTTCGCACTCATTACACACAAAGTGCTCGCCACAAGTGAATCACAATACCTTCGCTGATCTCGTCAAGGAGCATTAACCATCACGCGAACTCCGGACATATTCGCAGCAGCGGCTGTTGGCTAGCCGTCGAACAAAGGTAGTCACCACATCATACGCTCTCAGAGGCGCTTCTGCGCCGTCTGGAACGATCTTCCTTCCGATATTAGGTAGTCGCTGGAACTATGCACTGTTAAATCATTTAGATTGAAAACTCATTTCTTGAAAACTGCTTTTTCGTGTTTAGTTTGTTGTTCTTCCCCCACACTTCCGATTAGCACGGTTGGCTCCGTACAATACAAGATCCTTAGGAATCACAGTTTTCTCGGTCACAATTTACATCACTCTCTCAGTCACGAGACCAAGAATGTCGACACCAGTCCAGAGTTTGTTTCCTTAAACAATTCCTGCTGGATAATATTGGTCTAGAAAGCTAAGAGGCCAATGGATAATTTATATTTTTTATTTATATCTGGAGAAACAGCGCAGAGTTATGCTCATATGTATGAGATGTTTTTATCCCCTTCTAGAACAATTACATTATCCGCACAGTCCCAATCATTTATATAAATTATACATGCCTGGCCCTTCGAGAACATCATTAGATATTACATCAATCACTCACAATCATCTCTACATATTCGATATGTCTAACCCTTCCAAAACGCAATTAGAATTGATATCACTTTCTCAGTTACATTCATCCATGTGCATTACATGTGCAAGTGCTCAGTAGGGAGCAGTGGTGCAGCGGTTAGCGCGCTGCGCTACAAACTCGGCGACCCGAGTTCGATTCCCGCTCACGGCCAACACCAGTGACGATTATCTGAACCGGTCCTGGGCCTCTTCTCCAAAGTCGGCTCAGCCTCAAATTAGTACCTGCTGTGTAACTATCGCCACTGGGGAGACAAAGGCAGTCGGGCGTGGCGCGTGCCACCCACCCCCTCGTGTACCGTGCTGGCCTTAATCGGCGCTACTCGCAAACAGCCTGTTGAAGGCTATACGGGGGATCTTTATCTTGCGTGCGAGTGCTTAGCCGAGGCTGCTTGCTTACCACTTCGGAGCGGTGGTAGTGGTCACTCGCCTTGTCCAGCTCAATGGGCTGCCCGTTGAGTGACCAGAGGAACATGATGTCGAGCGAAGGGTCGTGAGCGGCTCTGCAGGGCATCACCGCGCTCTGTCCCACCGTCACCATTTTGGGGAGCGGCGGCACCGTGATTCGTGTAGACTCTGAAAAAGAGGATGGACAGCAGGTACTCTGTAGCTTTGTAATATTCACGAACGCGTGAATATAAATGCGTCGTTAAACCCCGCCACCACCACCCGACACGGCCAATTGGTAAGCATAATAGAGGTTTTTTTTTGGGGTTAGATCGCCAAGACCCAATGTTGGTCGCGAAAGCTTACGCGTTAAAGCAATTAGTAAGGTTTGTCATGCAAACAAAACATGACAATTTAGTTGCTACTTAGGAGAGTAAACCCACTAAGACGTTTTGCTGGTGATTTCAACCAGCGTCATCAGTTCGGGCGAATTGTCCGAATTCTGATGCCTATTGTGTATGCAGCATGACGCTGAAATACGTGACCCTCGTGCACTGCCCATCCTCCCCACCCGCCACCTCCCCCAATACTGTAACTGTCATTTTCTATAAATGTTCACACATCTGACCTTTACACGTCACTGCTTATAACCTCAGCCCCCCAGCAGGTAGGATATATGGCATTACGTTGCATGTCCAGCACGTAACAACTATACTAATAAACGCCTGTGCTTGTCCGTGAGCTCGTAATGGTCGAGTAGGTTAGCAGAAAAGGCCCGGGGCATTTAATTTTTATGACAAACATTTACATTGTTTTGTAAATTAATACAGGTAGGGGTGCTGCAAAGTTGTGAAGGTTCAACATATTGGATGTTGCGCTCCAGAAGTGGCCGATTCTAATGCTCAGGTTGACAAGACAAAAGAATGTGGGGACATATTATTGGTTCTTTCGGTAAAGTCACGTAGAAGGGAAAAAAAATAAAAAGAAATAAAATTAAAAAAATTTAATTATTGCTGTGGATTTCACACCTGATGATGATTGCTTGTGTTGCAGTCGTAACGTCGTGATAATTTTTATTGTTTTATATTTTATTATTATTTTATTATTTCCCTTCTACGTGACTTTACCGAAAGAACCAAGAATATGAATCTCTGCAGTCACGAAAGCTTTAAATCAAAATGTGGGGACATTTGAGATGGACCACGATTACGGTATTCTTGCTGTTGTTTCAATGCATCGGGTGTTCGAGGCTAGTTATCCTCAACTCGTTGTCATGGACAATTGTTCAGTTGTCTTTCGATAATTGTGCACGCGTGTTCTACAAGTTCTGCTTCATTGGATGGGGATCTACAAAATAAATTGGTTTTGAGAGAACAATCCTAAGATTGTGTTATTTTATTTAGGAATGCTTAGGGTTCATCTCCACAGAAATATATGGGCACAAATGTGACCTCAAGGATTGTAGGCATACTCACAGGCAGACTTCAGTATTATATATCATGCATTTGCTTGTTTTTGTAGGAGGATGGCTGTGGAATATTTTTATGTGACCTATTTGCCAGCCTTCCAGCACGGTGACGTTTTGTCGAACATCCCCCATGATCAATTCAGCGTGAGGAAGCCCTCATTATCGTAACGCGTTTTGACTTTGTTTGGGTGATCGTTTCTGTATTCAGTCGAGCACTGTAGGTACGACACGTCAAGAGTTAAATTGTCGATCTTGTTCTGCTACGATCAAAACAATATCATTAAATTCGGCTCATTAATCGGAAAACCGTCCACTACACGTAGCATTTGAATATTCATCACATTTGCTTGATGGCAATTTTAAAGATGTGCCAATATTTCCGCAGCAGCTGACAGTCAAAAACGAATCCCAGGAGCATCAATGGATTTTGCTTTCGACACGTGGAGCTTAATTAAAAATTGCCAGCTTACTCAGGGAACACGCTTTATTGGATACAATAGCAGTTTCCATTGCGATGAATACATGTCGTGTTTGCACGTGCCACGTTTCCCTTTGTGCACACTGAGACTTAGAGTGAGTTTTTTTTTATATTGACTGCCATTTAAGACCCTCTCTGCTCTTGAGTCGCTTGCGGCCGTGTTGAAGTACGTTGGCATCACGTGCAAACGGGAAGACTTCTTCACAAATCTGGCGAATCGCCTGATGGAGATGGTCGTATTCGTCGGCGAAACGTCGCTCTTAAATCGTAAACGTTGTGGGTGTACTCTCTAAATGGCACGTTTTAGTTACGTGCCAAATCTTGTTGATTGACTGTGTTTGGTGGTGGTGGGTTAAGGGATATATTTCTATGAATGCATGCAATCTAACCCCAAGCAATCGTTATTAATGAATAATATTGGTCGCGAAAGCCTACTTGTTAAGCCTAAGGTGCAGCCCCGCAACCGCTCGCTCACACCACCGCTGGCAGAAGGGCCTCCACCCGAGGGAGCTCTAAGCGAGACTCTCTACTAAGTGGGTGTTCGGTCTACTCCTCCAGGCTGGCCACATGACTTCGAAGTGGTGGAAGTACTCACACTTTACCCCACATTAATGCAGTTGGTTATATTGTTTAACATGTAGGCTTTCGCGACAAATATTATTCATAATCAACGTTTTTGGGTTTAGATCGCGTTATTTATAAATGTGTCGTAACCCTCCACCACCCGACACGGACAATCAGTAAAAAAGTGTCACGTTGACAAAAGACAAATAGTTCACTGCTTTAGCCCACCGGTGTGTTGAAGTGTGAAACCACAAGCATTTAGAATTTGAGTACGACGTTTCGCAGGTAATTGCATCCAGCATCATCGGGCAATTCGCCATTCGTTTCACGCTTCAACACACCGGTGGGCTAAAGCAGTGAACTATTTGTTTTTTGTCAACGTGACACTTTTTTACTGATTGGCCAGTGTCGGGTGGTGGAGGGTTACGACACATTTATAAATAACGCGATCTAAACCCAAAAACGTTGATTATGAGTTGGTTATATTGTTGATTCATATTTTATTTCCTCGTTTGAATATTTCATTTGCCTTTGGCAATCTAAGCCGCTCGCTGCATCATAAGTCAATAAATGCCACAACTGCTTCAGTTGTATTGGAAGTAATTTGCAACCACAAAATAAACCGCATTGTTGTAACCGTTAACATGTTTTTACTCTGCTACAAAGAAGCACTACCGCTCAAATTACGAGAAAATTGTGACGTTACTTGATCTCTGGTACTACAATTGAGGTTTCAAAGGGGGGAAATACACATTGAATGTGAAACTGTGAATGTTACTTCTACACTGAAATAAACGGTCGCCTTTTGTTGTGGCAGCACAATTGGACAGATGATTGAGATTCTTCTACTCCTACTGCACCACCACAGGCATTTTTCAACATAGGGCACACGTGCAGGTGAGTGGGTAGGCGGGTGTGCAAATGAGTGGGCGAGTGAATGAATGGGTGAGTGATTGAGTGGGTCTTCTCCTCGTATCCTGCCCCCACAGTCATAGGTTTTCCCAGTAGCAGACACATGATAATGGTCTGCTCTGTAGCCCTGGCAAGGTCCTCGATGATGCGTGGCTCAGGTCAAAAGCAGTCGTTCCGTGGTCAGTGGCAGGTGCGTGGGTCGTTATAGCAGCCCCACTTCCGAATGTTGACTTTTGAGCTTGCCGACTGCAATTCAAAGATTTTTTAAACATCTCCAGGTGTTCGGTAACATCCAAGTGCATTCCGATGGCTGACTGCTGTGACGATGACACTGGTCAACAAAAAAAAAACATTTTTTTCTGGCCTGGACTTTTGCAGCTGTTTTAGACTAATTTCAGAGGTGCTGATTCCAAATCTGATATCAGATTTGCTCTATCACATCTCATTTTTATGCTATCGGCATACCCCATTTTCATTGATTTTACCCGAAATTAACTCTGTCACTTATGATTGCAAGTTGTTACGAGTTAGTGACTGCTTTAGTGTTAAAATATGTAGCTGTATTTTTAGGATAGTGCGTTTATAACATCATTTTATGTGGATATCCACATTTATTTAATATTTTTCTTCTGCAGTTTTTATTGAAAATGCAATATTTGATATCTCAAAAACCTGATGTGATAGACAAAAACTGATGCCAGATTTGGAATCGGCACCCCAAAATTACATTACAACCGTTGAAATACCTTACGCCAGAAAAAGTGTGTTGACCAGTGTAATCAAATACCTTTCAGATCCAGGTAGCCGGTGCTGCTGGCTTTTCCAAGTTGGTTTTCAGCTGTGCACGTGTATCCACCTTCATCACCCTCCAGGACTCTCTCGATCCAGAGGCTTCCATTGTCCAGGATGCTTATCCTAGCAGAGAACACGTTCCTTCGGTTGGACGTTCGCAAACGATATTTTCAATTCGAGCACTTTTTACCATTCGATATTAGAACCTGGTCATGTAATTACTTAAGTCAGCACCACCCGTACCCCCCTCACCCACCGCATGAACGTCAAGCAATCGTCACAATTCGGATTCGCGATTCGATTGCATATCAATGTGTTATCTGTCCCATTTTTTATAGATTAATTTGTCTTCTTGGTTCTTTCGGTAAAGTCACGTAGAAGGGAAGTAATAAAATAATAAAAATAAAACATAATAAATAAAATAATTCTCACGACGTTTCGGCTACAACGCAAGCAGCCGTCTTCAGGTGAAGAATGATAATTATTTTATTTTATTATGTTTTATTTTTATTATTTTATTACTTCCCTTCTACGTGACTTTACTGAAAGAACCAAGAAGATGAATCCCTGCAGTCACGAAAGCTTTAAATCGAGATTCATTTGTATTGTCCGATTTTTCTTTTTTCTTTTTGAAATGCCTGAAATGTTAAATTAGTGCATTGTACACCACTTGATGAAAACTTTTTATCTGGATATTATTTTCTGAAATGGTACATAATAGATTCTCACACGCATGATCGATGCATGTAGCGTGGGTGGAGCAATCAAACTCAACGAAGAGACGTATATTTAAATGTCTACTTGTCATGTTATCTGCGGCAGTTAGCAGAACAGCATTGATAGCCGCTGATAGCAACGTGGCGTGTAGCAAAGGGGGGCACAGTGGCGAAATGTTAACTCATTTGCCTGGTATACAGGAGGTCGTGGGTTCGATCCCAGCCCTGACGCCTGTATATTTGGAGTCTGCATGTTTCTCTCCCCGTGGTCGTGTGGACTTTTCTCTGGGTCCTCCCCTTTTTCCCTCCACATTTAGAATCAACATGCCCTTATATAATTGGGCTGCTACACATTTCCATTTCATGAGCCACTTAGTTAAGCTATCATTTGTAGCCAGGTCGCTTCTCAAACAGAGCTATATATCTCAGTGAGCTCCACCTGGTAAAATATCAAATAGTTAAATAGTTAAAGATTCAAGTAAACAAAAAATCGCACGATCTTCGACCCGTGCAAGCTGCTGGGTTCAGGAGATCAACTCCACATCACTAACAAATTAACCCGTAAAAACAAAGTTTTTCACTCTAAATCCTTTATATGCGTGGCGGCTAGAGTCCTCTCGTCCTCTGGCTTGAGATGGCTGCCACCTATGGGTCAGATGATTGTCTGCCACCATTAAGCAATTGGTAATTAGATATTTAATTTTCTTTCCCTAAACAGTGTAAAAATTTGCAAAATTTTTTTCACGAAAATTAATTTTCACGCACAACGAGTCTGTGTGGAAAATGTCAGCTCGATTGGGTCACGGGAAGTGGGTTAAAAAACGACCGAAAGATTTGCACGGTCGTAAGCAAGCAAGCAAGCACGCAAGCACGCAAGCACGCAAGCAAACTTAATATAAAGGAATTAAAAATTGGACACGATCTCAATGATACTCAGATTGTAAGGGAATCATTGCATCCGATTATGGCCAATCATTGTCTATTCATAATTGACATTGATAGATTTTGAGCCGGGGGTAACGGTGACGACCCAAGAAAATGCATGCAGTGGCTGAAAATATTATTTGATCGTGTAAAACAAATGTTTGCATTTTATTATAATGTATTTTGAACGAGTAAATCGAAATGGTATTTAGTACAAAACAGTCAATGTAGAATAGCAAATATTGCTTAACCTGTCATGTCATTCAGAACATTACAACTCTGGCATTTTTTACACCAACAAATAACTGCAAAACATTAAGATGCACCCGCTCATGACTCAATGATTCCTCACAATGATACAATAAAAAAATCCATAGTTTTTTTATCTCATGTTTACTGTCTCAGTAGTTATGTAGCCTTGATTCTTTCTCATTTTCATTTAAAAAATGTGCACATATCATAAAAACGACGCGTAATTGGTTCTCCCCCACTTGATACCGTTAACGTACAATCCTATGAATTGATTCTGGTTAATGATTCGATGCAAGCTCACTGCTGAGCAAGCATCGTGGTCTCCCTGAAGAGGGCTCTCTACGGTTCGTTCCAGTTGGAGGCCCTTCTGCCAGCAGTGTCGAGCAAGCAATTGCAGGGCTGCGCCTTAACATCTGCGCCGTATTGGCATTGACCTCAAGACAGCTGCAACGTGAAACAAAAGGAAAAACTAAAATGGAATTGATCAAATATCACCAATGCAGGACCCTCCTGAAGAAACAGATCTTAGACTCAGTGGCAATTAAATGAATGTGAAGTAATTTCATTGAGAGATGAAAGAAAAATATTTGCATTATTATTGGCAGTCAAAAGAGAATTAATTCTACTTTTTGTATTGGTAATTTGCGTTGAGGCTCAAGGGAACTAGCAGGAATGTGTTCAAGTCTTTAAAAATACTCAACCAAAAATAAAAGAGTATATTACAACATTTTCTCTAAAATAATAATTTCCCAGTGGACCAAATGAAATTAACCGAGTTAATTAAACTTTTTTTTATCAGTGTCTTTGACAGTAGACTCATGTTTTCCAATAATCCAATTTGCTGTATAGTTGCCCCTTCACTAACCAGTCTTTTTAAAATTATCAAATATTATCTTTTAAAAAATAATTTCCTTTTACCACACTTTTAATTAAAAAACGTGTTTCACTTTGCTCACCCTTTTTTAAAAATCAGTAATATACATTTTATAAACTAATAAGCATGATCCACATATTTTCTTACAATTTGTGAAGGTTTAATTTTAACATTTTCAGAATATTTCCTGACCTGTATCATCATCATAACACGGTGACTTCATTATAATGCACAACTAAGTTTCCGAGGTAATTTTATTTAAATCTCAAACTGTTGCGTATAATTGGAACACAAGACTTTTGCAGGGTGCTCTGGATACGAGGACACATTTGACATTCCTTAAAGGCTATGTTCCCAGTAAATGAGATACGTGGAGGTTACAAGACACCCTCCTTGGGGTGTAGGGAGCTCTGGGTAGAGGTAGTACCTTTGTTTTCTGGTAGCTGCACTCAATTTTTGAGTGGACGGAAACACTGGTCCTCATCCATCTCCTAAATCTCTGACGTCTGGCTCCTAGTGCCACACCCCGGTAAACCGCTTCAGCTGGCGGGCTAAACGACGTGAGGGGGTGATGTCAACACTGCATCACTGGGCGAATGAACTCCCACGACGGAGTCACCGGCCAGGGCGGAAGGGTCTCGTTAGGACCCAATGGCCAAGTGTTCGGGACTAAGGCGCGCCACTTCGTTACTGTGGACTGCGGCTGTGGCCTACCAGCTATGGTTTGAAATAGCAGGGAAGGTGGATCTCTTCAGCCTTGGAAGGCCGTCTACCTAGGAGAAGGAAACTCTGATGTAAAACCTACGGCCCGAGGACCTCGCTGTCACCGTCCCAGCTTGCTAGGCCATGGCAGACGAACCCCGGGTTTAAAGGGTGGGGTCAGTTCTGCGCACACTGCACTCCACTTGAAAGCTCCTTTGCGCAAGCAAGAAGGAAATCTTCACGTCTACCCCCCCCCCCCCCCCCCGGTCTCACTAAGTCCTGTAGCGATGGGAAAGGGGCGAACTCGGCAGGTGTAAGATGACACTGGCAGCCGCAGTCTCAATCCTACATGCAGGCGGCTCAGGCGCAAGTGGTCGTCTGATGATGACCTGGAAACGACATCATCACCCGGCAGCACCCTGAGCGACCAAGCAGCCTTTTCTAGGGACAGCACTGCTTGCTCCACACGGAGAGGGGCCTAGAAAAGGTGGCCTAAACAAAGCTCGTCTCCTCCTCCCTCAGTTGGCTTACCGCGGTCAACGGGCATCTTCATATGCGGTCGAATTACATCAAAGAATCGACGGCGCATCCCACTCGCCTTAAAAGGTGGGAAAGGACTCAAACTCGCATGCTGGAACATCAGAACCATGCTAGACTCAGCTGACAGCACTCGACCTGAGCGACGATCTGCTCTAATTGCACACGAACTCGCTCTGCTGGATGTTGACATCGCCGCCCTCAGCGAAATCCGCTTTTCAGAGGAAGGGAGTCTGAGGGAGCATGGCGCAGGTTACACTCTCTACTGGTCAGGTAAACCAGCGACAGAGAGACGCCGTTCAGGTGTCGGCTTCATGATCAGGGACTCTATCGCTACCAAGCTTGCAAGCCTGCCAACTGGTCACTCTGACCGCATCATCTCAATGCGTCTACCACTTCGTGACCAACAACACGCAACGCTGCTCAGTGTGTACGCTCCAACTCTCCAGGCAGATCCCGCTGATAAAGACAAGTTTTACTCCGACCTACGCAGTCTTCTGCAGGATATCCCAGCTGACGACAAGATTGTCATCCTTGGCGACTTCAACGCCAGAGTGGGCAGAGACTCGGAAACCTGGAAAGGCGTACTTGGAAGGCACGGTGTGGGCAGCTACAACGACAATGGACGCTTGTTACTTGAACTCTGTGCGGAACAGCAGCTTTCCATTACCAACACCATCTTCCAGCAGAAAGACAGTCTGAAAACAACCTGGATGCACCCTCGGTCAAAACATTGGCATCTCATAGACTACATCCTTGTGCGCCAGCGTGACCTAAAAGATGTCTTTCACACCAGGGTAATGCCCAGCGCCGAGTGTCACACAGACCACCGTCTTGTCCGCTGCAAACTCAGCTTTCACTTTAAACCCAGACCAAGAAACGGTGGCGCCCCGAGGAAGAAGCTCAAAGTCTGCAGCCTTCAGTCTGCCGTGGTCAAAGCAGCTTTCCAGAAAAGCCTACGATCTAGGCTATAGGAACCGAGCTGCCTAGGAGACTCGCCTCCGATTCCTGAAGTGCTGTGGGACCGCATCAAAACTGTTGTTCTGCAAACATCTGAAGATACCCTCGGATTCTCCACGAAGAAAAACAGAGATTGGTTCGATGAGAACAACTTAGAAGTCCAGGAGCTGCTGTCAAAGAAGAGATCAGCACACCAGGCCCACCTGGCCCGACCATCCTGCCCGCACAAAAAAGCAGCCTTCCGCCTGGAATGCAGCACCATCCAGCGCAAGCTTCGAGAGATTCAGAACGAGTGGTGGACCAACCTCGCAGTAAAAACTCAGGTTTGCACTGATACTGGCGACTACAGGGGATTCTACGAAGCCCTAAAAGCGGTATATGGCCCCTCGTACCAAATCCTGAGCCCCCTGCGGAGTGCAGACGGGAACAAACTGCTCACTGAAAAGGACTCAATCCTGAACCGCTGGTCTGAGCACTTCTACACGCTCTTCAATGCTAGCCGCTCAGTCCAAGAACCAGCGATTGACCGCATCCCACAACAACCAGTGAAAACCGAACTGGATGTGGCACCAACATTACAAGAGACTGAGGAAGCCATTAAACAGCTGAAGAGTGGTAAAGCTGCAGGAGTCGATGGCATCCCTCCTGAAGTATGGAAGAACGGAGGCCCAGCATTGCACACCAAACTCCATGAATTCTTCGTCTGCTGCTGGGAGCAGGGTAAACTCCCTCAAGATCTCAAAGATGCAGTCATCATCACCCTGTACAAGAACAAAGGGGAGAAATCAGACTGTTCCAATTATCGTGGCATAACACTTCTGTCCGTCGCCGGCAAAATCCTCGCAAGAGTACTGCTGAATAGACTGGTACCCGCAATAGCTGAAGATCACCTCCCAGAGACCCAGTGTGGCTTTAGAGCCAACCGGGGAACCACAGACATGGTGTTTGTCCTGAGGCAGATTCAGGAAAAGTGCCGGGAGCAAAACAAAGCACTGTACGTCACCTTTGTGGACCTGACAAAAGCGTTTGACACCGTGAGCAGGCAGGGACTTTGGAAAATCCTGGACAAGCTAGGCTGCCCACCGAAGTTCCTCACCATGATCGTCCAGCTTCATGAAGACCAGCTTGGACAAGTCAGACATAGCAACAATCTCTCGCAGCCCTTCCCTATTGCAAACGGCGTGAAACAGGGCTGTGTTCTTGCTCCCACGCTGTTCACCATTTTGTTCAGCATGATGCTCCAGCAGGTCACAGAGGACCTCGACGACGCTGATGGCGTATACATCCGTTTTCGTCTCGACGGGAGCGTGTTCAACCTGAGGCGTTTGCAGGCCCACACAAAGACCATGGAGCAACTGATCAGGGAGCTGCTTTTTGCTGACGATGCCGCCCTCCTTGCTCATACAGAGGCAGCTATGCAGCGAATTACGTCCTGTTTCGCGAAAACAGCTCAGATCTTCGGCCTTGAAGTAAGCCTGAGGAAGACTGAAGTTCTTCATCAGTCCGCACCCCAGGAGGAGCACCATCCACCAAGCATCTTCATTGAACAAACAGAACTGAAAGCTGTCCACCAGTTCAGCTACTAGGGGTGCGTCATCTCGTCTGACGCCAAGATCGACAACGAAGTCGACAACAGGCTGGCCAAGGCAAACAGTGCATTTGGCAGACTATACAAACGTGTCTGGAACAACAGAAACCTTAAAAGAGCCACAAAGGTCAACGTCTACAAAGCTGTTGTGCTGACCACTCTCCTGTATGGCGCTGAGTCATGGGTCACGTACCGTCGTCACCTGAGTCTCCTCGAGCGTTTCCATCAGCGCTGCCTCCGCACAATCTTCAATATTCACTGGAGTGACTTCGTCGCCAACACTGAAGTCCTCAAGTCAGCGAAGGTCATCAGCATCGAGGCCATGGTCCTCAAGACACAGCTTCGTTGGGCAGGGCACATCGCCAGGATGGAGAACCACCGCTTGCCTAAGATTGTGCTGTATGGGGAACTGTCCTCTGGCCATCGCGACATAGGGGCACCACGAAAGCGATACAAAGACTCCCTGAAGAAGTCCCTCACTGCTTGCTGCATCGATCACCGTCAGTGGGCAACAAAAGCAGCTGATCGCAACTCCTGGCGGCACACAGTCCACCAGGCCACCTCCTTCTTCGAAGATACCCGCAGGGCCCGTATGGAGGACAAAAGGAGAAGGAGGAAGAACCGTGATCCCTCAGCACCCATCCCAGATGAGACCTTCACTTGCAGCTGTTGTGGCAGGACCTGCCTGTCCCGCATAGGCCTCTTCAGCCACCAGCGTGCCTGCAGAAGACGTGGATGTCCTTCCTAGATCTTCGTTCGCGAAGCCAAGCCATGATGAGACAAGACACCCTCCGTGTCTGTGCAATAGCGTGGGTGGTTATTTTCAACAACCTTAGTTCTGCTGTTTTCACATGCAGGAGCGGTTTGTGAGCATTTGAGCCAAATAAGAATACACTACATGGGCTCAACCGGGAGTGGATGGGTGTCTCAGGAGTAGTTTGCTCTGTATTTGATATTAACATTCACTGGTTGTAAGGCCTTATATCTCCGTGTGTTTTATACATTATGATTATTATTAATTTGAGGTGCGTTGTCAATCCACTACTGGATGAAGGCCTCCCCACGGTTTGTCGATCATGGGGGGTTGTTCAACCTTACTTCACCATGCTCGACAATGCAGATTGGTGAAACAGGAGCTGGGGCATACAAAATCGTGCAAGACCGATGTTCACTGGCAAAATGTTAACTACTTCGCCTGATATACAGGAGGTCGTGGGTTCGATCTCGACCCTGATGCCTGCTGCTGTATATTTGGAGTTTGCGTGTCTCTCTCCCCGTGGGGGTTCCGGGTTTTCCCTCCACGTTTAGAATTAGCATTCGTTTAGAGTGTTTGCTTGATATACATTTCCACGTGATAAGCCACTTAGTTGAGTTATCATTTGTGGCCAGGTCACTTCTGAAAAAGAGCCATATAGATCCGTGGGCCTTCCTGGTAAATGCAAATAGTTCAGTTTAAATTTTAGTTTAGAACTCCAGTTCACTGGCTTTACAGTGCAGTGTGAAAAGGACCATACCACCACTCCACCGCTTCTATTATTCATATCTCAATTATAGAGGAAGCCAGGCCGTTCCTCTTATCTCGAGTTTCAATCCTCTTGCATTTGCAGAAATTAAAATGAGTGAATAGGTCTCTAGATTTAAGTCGAACGATGTTCACTTAGTGTGCAAATTTACCAATGAGGAACGGTGCAGTTTCCACTGAAGCAAGCTGTATATTTTTTATTTAAAGCTTTCGTGACTACAGGGATTCATATTATTGGTTCTTTCGGTAAAGTCACACAGTAAGAGCATAGCACCAATCTGTGTATTATTTCGACTCGTTATAAATTCATGACTTCACACATATCAAAATGACATGCTGGATAAACATGTTTTAAGTGTTATTTATTGTAATTTTACATATAGGAGAAGTGATGCAATGGTTAGTCCACTACACCATTAACCAGACGAGTTTGATTCCTGGCTGTGGTCAACATATGTGACAAGTGTTATCTGAATCTGGCTACCTTCAATAACCCACACTTACCAGCGTGGTCAAGTATGGTCAGTGTGTTTGCAACGTGCAGAAAAAAATTCTAATTTTATCGAGTACAGAGGAGATGCCCATTATAAACGTGTTCATTAAATAAGCTTGCAGGGTAATGAAATGTTTGCATAAAACAGTCCGGTTAGTAGGTGTGCGACGCACCCCATGCGCGCGCGCGCTGAGGTCACATTCAAAAGCCCCGACGTCGGCAGAATTCTCCGCTTTGCGAGCGGGTGCAAACGGACGCGCAAAACGCACGCAACGTTAACGCGCGCACGCACAAGCTTCCACGGGGGAGGAATGATCCCCTCGGTTGTCATCGGGGGGGTGTGTGGAGGAGAGGGGTAACGCCCTACCGACCACTGCCAGAAGGGGAAGTTGCAGCGGGACCATAGATCAGTGCGGACTTTGACGGAGCGCACCTTTCTCCGATGCGGACGAGAACGTTTCCTTTGGTCCACGAGAAGGTGGGCTTGGGCCACGCTCTTGGCTCGCACTTAATAACGGCCTGTCCGCCCCGAGCCGCCGGAGTGATTCTGGGCACGGGATTGTTTTTGAAATCTGGCAGCGATGCTGAGGACGGAGAAAAATCGGGGGGGGAGGGGGGGGGTGATGGGCGGAGATGGGGGTGAGAAAAAGCTCACGTGGGCGAGCGTAAACACGTGCGCGCGCGCGCGCGACACGGCACGGCGTGTCACGACGCTGTCGCCGTTGTCTCGGTGTGATGTCTTATTACGGAGGGCCCCCCCCCCACCCGGATCCCCCCCCCCACCCCATCCCATCTCACCTCACCTTTTGTGATATTTTTCTGCTCAGCGGAGGGTGCGGTGATTTATGCCGGAAAACATCACGGGCGTTATTAACCAGGCCTCCAATATCCGTGATGAATGTCTTCCCCCGGCAAGGGCTATAAATACGCGTGGACAGATTTTTATACGTAATTAAGTGCACGGGTCTATTTATCTTCTGGCTTGTTAATAACAAACTGTATAAATAATGACAGCACAATGGACCACATTCAAACCGTCGGCCGGAAGTGCAGTTATTTTTTGGTTTTGGGGGGGGGATCAATTTGGCATGATTTTAGTTGCCAACGTGATGCATCCGATGACATCAATACAAAAACGTGGTTTCCCTAAAGCGTATGAATGTGTGCACAGGATGAACTGCATGCCGTGCACATTTTATCAGGGCTAACGGCTATCAGCGTTGACCCGCGCAGCATTTATTACCAACATTGCTTTCTTCAGAGCTGACGCTTGCATGCGAATTCATTTTTTTATTATCACTCTCGCCGTCAAGACACTTCATTACGTATCGAAAAACATTCGCTGGCTGCGTGGAATTTGTAACAATTACAGGTTGAAATTGATGGCCGGTCTGCCTTAGAAGCGGGTAAAAATAAATAAACGCGTTACCTTTGACCTTTAGTTCGGCGCTGGAGTAGATACGTCCGTGTTTATTCTCTGCGATGCATTGGAACATTCCTCTGTCCGACGGCTTCACGTTGCCGACGATGAGATCGCCGCTTTCCAAGACGCGCACCCTTCCCTGGAGAGAAGCCAACGCAGCAGCAGTACGTCCGACACTTGAGCTATGTCACGTCGTAATCGTCCACGCACAACGCATCCGACATTGCCGACCCATTTGGCAAAGTGTCACGCGATCGTTGAGATGGCTGTGGCAAGCGGCTTGGTCACTTATTTTTTTTTCGAAAAAAAACAAGGTGTTACAGATTTCAGAAAGTGATGACTTGCACCCAGGAAGAGTGTTTGTATTCAGAAACACATTTCACTACTTGTGCTGTTTATATCCATATAATCCGAAAGAGAGCATGCCCTGCCTAAATTGCTATTTGTTATGAAGTTTTGGCATTGAAACTACATGTTTTGGGCTTGCGGCTCATTTGGAAGATATTCTTAAAGTCCAATTTACAAATGAAAAAAGTACAAAATTTGAGCTCCAACGAACCTCTTCTAAAATTGACTCATCTTGCATACTACTACTACCATCACAGGCTCCAAGACCTACATCATCCATTACACATGCATATGCCATGGCCTTCAGCCCAGCCCTCAACATGTGCTCACAACGGCTTGGCTCCAGACCTCCACTACTACATGCTGTGACGATAAGCCCAGCGCTAGACACAAACCGTTCACACGGGTCCTATTAAAGAACGGATATTGCAGCCAGTTGCCAAGGGGGCATGCTCTGCTCACAGCATGGGCAGGACAAAGGCTCAAAATGCTGCCCTGGCTTAAGTCCTGGTCTGGTCTGCATCCAGCCCTGGAGGTGCCTACCGCAGTGGCATATGACTCGGCAATGTAAGACCCAAAAAGGAATCACAGATGAATATTAGTGCTGCAACCACATTGTAATTCTTCCCCGTCATGTTAACAGCATTCACACTCCACTGCATGAGTAATAATCCAACATGAGTGAACTGTTGTGGGATTGCATTGGCTGTGGTGTCCATAGACATTGCAAAGCTACTTGTTATTTCATTCAGTACAGTGGCGATTCCCGCTATGGATGTGTTCAGAAAATAAGCCTTTACATGTTACGGCATGTCAGTAAAGTTTTTGCATGATATAGTACAGCAAGTGGATGTATGAGTGTTGTCTATTCATGTGCGTAATCAAAATGATAGACACACTCTACATTCCTGATGAATACTGCCATCATCATCATCAAGATTCATTAGCAGATAACCCGTAGGTGTCCCCTGCACATTTCCTCATTTGTTTCTACTTTTCTCCGTCTTGTATTAATATGTTCAAGTAGTTCAGATCTCTCTGGCAGCAATCTCTCATGCCATCGTAAAGTCATTCTCTTTTAGGTCTTCTTCAAATTTCCTTCCGATCGCTGCCTGCATCGAGTCTTCTTCTATGTGCAACTTTTTTCTTACTTCTACAACACTGCCGTACAGCAGAAATGTGTATAACAGGCTGATAGATTTGGCAATAAGCCTTCCTCAGATCAGGGAGACGGGGAAGAAATAATGGCCGCACTTTAAAACGTGAGGCAATACACGCAAAAATCCGAGGAATTATTGAAAAAGATAACAAATGAAAGGGTGTAAATGAAAATATGAGCAGTGTCTTATCAGTGAACCTTTATTGTCAAACAAACACCTAAAAAATAAGTTGATTGCAAAAAAAAAAATCAACTTTGAGGGCAGAACTGCATCATGGGTAAAAGAGTTACCAACACAGTATCCAAGGCATTTTGATACATCCATTGCAATATGACGTCTATACATGACAGCTGATGCAATTTGAGCGGGTCAAAGCATCACATTTTCAATTACACACATTTGCCAAATACACTCAAGTCTATGCTATCTGCCAGAGGAACTCAGCTGGAAAACACAGTGCAATACGGATGCCTAGGGTGGTTATTGGAGGGGGGCAGAGAGCAATGATGAAATGAAGAGGTGGATGAGAGAGTCAGGTCGGTGACACCTTTTGGAAATTTGAACTTGAAGATGAAAAGCGAAACATCAATGTGTCTGAAGAGAAGAGTTGTTTTATCTCGTGAAGAAGCATGGAGAGATGCGCTGGGGATTACGCTGGGATGCGTAGAGAAGAGCACGCGGAATAGAAAACGTACGCAACGTTTAAAACATGATTTTTACTTTTAAGAAAGTGTAATTGGCAGTAATTCTAGATTTGAAGCTTTCGTGACTGCAATGATTCATATTCTTAGGTTTTTTTCGGTAAAGTCACGTAGGTAAAACATTAAAAAGTAAAATAAAATAAAAAATCACGACGTTTCGGAGGCAACACAAGCTTCCATCTTCAGGTGGTACCGTCACAGCCACGACAGCTGTATCAAGTAAATGAGAGATTACCATATTAATAGAAAGTATGCGGCCCTTACCCTACCACCTTCTCCAACCATTATATAAACGGAGTGGTAGCTCCTGCAATCTCTCATTTAATTGATACAGCTGTCGTGGCTGTGACGGTACCACCTGAAGACGGAAGCTTGTGTTGCCTCCGAAACGTCGTGATTTTTATTTTATTTTACTTTTTAATGTTTTTGCCTACGTGACTTTACCGAAAAAACCTAAGAATATGTAATTGGCAGTATACATAGCCAGCAGAGATGACGACCAGTGGACGAGAATTACGATGAAGCAATTAGATCGGCTCGTGTGTAGGTGCTAGGTGGATTGTTGCTTCATGGGGTCGGGGAAGATCATGACGACGACGATGAGGCAACTTGAAGGGTTATGTTTTTTTTTTTGGCAAAATATTTGAGTTCTATCCTGCATCCAATCCAGCAAGCGTCGGATTGAGAGGGGATTCATTGTGAAGCTTCCTGCCAAGAACGTTGGCTTCTCACTCGTTGCATGATTAAACATCACGTTGACCACTTTTCTGAAGAACATGGTGAGTGTTTATTTTAACAGGATAAAAAGACGGGGCCCGGTTTTTTTGTTGCCAATGTTACACTTCATCTGGTTAACAGAGTGAGGAGACTTTGAGTTGCCTTACAGTGTGACCCTCAGCAGTTAAAGGCAAAGCCACCCCTACCGCTCATGCGAAAACAACATGAAAAGTAAATCCTTTTTTTCAATCACTGAATCTTGCACGCTCCACAAATACGAATTTTAAAATAACATTTCAGAGAAATATCACATCTTCTGAAGGCATTTATTTCCCTATAACTTATCAACAGCGTTCCCACTTGGGAAGTGCTCACTTGAAAGTCATTTCAAGAAATTCATTTGAAGTAACTTTTCCAGAAACAAAAAAAGCACGTTTCACTTGCTATACGCGGGCTATTGGCATGCAGTCGGATAATTAGACTTGTTCTATAACCCGTGGTTCACAGTGCACTTACTGTGCACACCGGGCGGCATGGGGCGAGAGTTGGTCAAAGGCAACTTGAATTCAGTTGCCCGAGTTATGGATAGAATTTACGAGTTTAAAAAAGAGAAGGATTTAAAAAATCATAACTTAAGCAGCGGTAGATCGCAACTGAATCGCTTAATGATGTACAGGCCTGTTTGATGATTTACACGTGGAGACAGAGAGCAAAAAAGCTTACCTCTGCGCCCACAAGCACCCCATCTTTCATCCACTTGTATGCAGGCTGTGGTTTGCCTGTGGCCCTGCATTCCCACTGCAGCGTGTCTCCCAGGCCTTGCTCCACATCGCTAATTGGCTCAAGCCATTGTGGAGGAGCTGGTGGAATAAAACATGAAAACACTTGAGACCAGCGATTTTAATGAACACCGCACTGATAATGACCATGGCGATGATGGTGGTGATGATTGTGGTGGTGGTGGTGATAGTGATGATGGTGGTGGTGGTGGTGGTGATAGTGATGATGGTGGTGGTGGTGATATTGGCATGAGCCATAACACTCGTAGTATGACTTAAATAGAAGCAGAAGAACATTTTGCCGGATGTTTCATTGGAAATAAGAATGTTAACTTGTATAACGTATTACGGTTACGATACTGAACATAACACGAACCTGTGTCCAATACGGATTTTGTGGAATGGTACTTCGTAATATATATTCTTTACACTTTTTATATTGGACATAAATGTGCCACATTATTCAATTAAAGTCCTTGACAGATAGTGAACTGCAGAAAATCGAATTACAGTTGTTGTTATAGACAAGGCATGTTCACATGAATAATTATAGAACGTTATACGTTGGTTCAACATGATATTATAAGTTGTGTACAAGTGGGTGCTTGTGTCATGAAAGAAATACATTAATATTAATATTCACATTGGTTATCCTTGTAATAGAAAACTAATATTTTCTGTGGAAATGTTTCTGTGCTTTGCGATATTCTATACATTATATTTGAAATTCTGTCATTTCAAAATGTCATGTGATGATACATTTACTTTAAAGAAGCACCAATTCAAATGTTAAAATAAAAGTTTGAATTGAAAATTCGTAGAAATATATATACACACGCTATATATGGCATACTGTGAATACTTTTTTGCTAACACAAATGTTAACACAATCTGAAGTTTCGCGGTTTCAATTCCGACGACTCATTTTTATCACTTAATTAAATTCTATGACTGATTTTAGCTGCAGTCATGAATATGATTATGCACAATGTGCTATTAACTCGCCTTTCTTTTCCACAAAATGTAATAACGCGCTGTAACGTTAGCGTACGTTGTTCAGTGCGGTGAATGTCTAAGAGCATTGTCCAATTTTTTTCAGAAAATGATTAAATATAATAGTCACTTTTGCGTCTGTCTCGCAGAGGTGTTGTCTGAACGATTTTTTTAATACAAATACCTTTATTTGTTATTTAAGGAAAGAAAGGTTCGAGGTAAATATGTTAATGTGAATAGAAATACTTCAATGGCATTTACGCAAAGGAAGAAAATTGAGGCTGTTAGCGAAATATTTCGAGAAAAATTCAATACAACTCTTTACAAAAAAAAACATTTTTCAAACGTGTAGTGAGTTAAATATTTTTAAACAATGGGAAACGTTTCACTTTGCCAGGGGATAACGTCAAACAACAGCTGAGCAGTTGTGAGAACTAATGTCTTGGCAAGGCTTTATTGGCATCCCAGGGTGACTGTCATGAAGGATTTTTCTCAAATAGTTTACTAACATCATTCAATTAAACTATGATTCTTTTTTTCAAGCTCGCTCCGCCGAATTTGACAAGGCAAAAATTTATGCAACAAATTGTAATCTTTCGGTAAAGTCACGTAGAAGGGAAATAATAAAATAATAATAAAAAAAACATAATAAAATACAATTCTCACGACGTTTCGGCCACAACGCAAGCAGGTCCTCAGGTGAAAAACAGGTCTGTCGGAAATACATTCAGACGCTGTCTTTCAGACAGACCTGTTCTGCACCTGAGGACGGCTGCTTTCGTTGTGGCCGAAACGTCGTGAGAATTTTATTTTATTATGTTTTATTTTTATTATTTTATTACTTCCCTTCTACGTGACTTTACCGAAAGAACCAAGAAAATGAATCCCTGCAGTCACGAAAGCTTTAAATCGAAATCGTAACATTGCTTAGGCTATAGAGATGTGGAGCATGCAAAATCCTTTCAGTGGTGTTTGTCAAAAAGTCAAAATGATATCCTGCTCAAATGAGCACTGAGGCAGGAACATCCCCCAATTGCAGCGCTCAGCTCGTGGTGGAAATTCCATCTTCCTATGTTGGACTCGAGTCTAGACATAGTAAAAACACTATTGATTTCTTAATAGAGTTCTAGATTTGAAGCTTTCGTGACTGCAATGATTCATATTCTTAGGTTTTTTCGGTAAAGTCACGTAGGTAAAACATGAAATTTAATATTTTATTTTACTTTTATTAATTCTTAATAGAGGTTTGTTTGGGGTTAGATCGCGTAAATATGTAAATGTGTCGTTAAAACCCGCCACCACCCGACACAGCCAAAGAGTAAGGGTTGTCACGTAAACAGAACGTGCAATTCGTCACTAGTACAGCACTAACCGGTGTGTTGGCTTGGCTGTGTCGGGTGGTGGCGGGTTTTACCGACACATTTATATATTTGCGCGATCTAACCCAAAAACCTCTTATGGATGATATTGGTCGCGAAACCCTACGTGTTAAACTGACTATTGATTTCCTCACTCTTTGGTACTGATGTTATGAGCCCCGAGAGGCATGATGGGCTGACTCAGCCCAAACCAGGATTTTAATTCACAACTTTCAAGGGTTATGAGCCGCTCACTTTACCACTGGACCACCCGACCATAGTTGTTCATGAATAAATTGTTGTTCGTGAGATGTTAACTAGCTCGCTAGGTATACAGGAGGTCGTGGATTCGAACCCGACACTGACGTCTGTATATTTTGAGTTTGCGTGTTCTCCCTGTGGTCGCGTGGATATTTCTCCGGATCCTGCCTGTTTCTCCCTTCACATTTAGAATCAATATGCGTTTATAGTATTTGGCCGGGGTAAATTCCCACATGATAACTTCGTTGAGCTATCATTTGTGATGGTCAGGTCGCTTCTGAAAAAGAGCTACAGTATATAATTGAGTAGGCCTCAGCTGGTACATTTTTTAAATCTTTTAATTAGGTTAGTTCCTTTTTTTAGATGTGTTACATATCATCAGCTCGTATTGCAATTATTTTGCATTGAATTCTAGTCCTCTTGTTTTTTAAGTTAAATTTAAACATGACAATGCACACTACTCTATTTATTGCATTTCTGCATTGTTATTCAAGCAAATGTAAATATCACGTGGCAATCAGTCTTCATTTTGCTTTGGCAGCGTGGCATTTTTGGGGAATTATGAGCGTACTCTTTCGTGCCACGCCACATGCTAATCCATAGGCGGCCCCGATAGCAAGCCATCACGAAACACCCACCTGCAACCAATGTCACGCTCACCTTGGCTTAACCCGATGGACGCATGGCTACATCTCGAGCATAGCTTTTGCTGCAGTTACAATTTCACACCATGGATGTTGAAGAATCCTGCAATGATGGGTGTGAAAAATGAAAGTGGTGGCCTCCAATGGGACGTCCTTTAATGTTGACAAAGAGCACTTGGGATCGATTGTCACATGAACTCAGTTGGGCAAAAATCACAATATGTGGTCAGTGTGTAAAGTCCATTGCTTGTGAGCACTGCACTGCACTAGCTTGCAGTGTTGCGGTTAACGTGCTGCACTGCAAACCTGGCGACCCGAGTTTGAATCCCGCTCACGGCCAACACCAGTGACGATTATCTGAACCGGTCCTGGGCCTCCCCTAGGTCGTCTCAGCCTTAAATTAGTACCTGGTGAGGTGTGTAAACATCGCCACTAGGGAGACGAAGGGGGCCGGGCGTGGTGCTGGCCACCCACCCCCTCGTGTGCCGTGCCGGCCTTCATAAGTGCTCGCTAACAGCACTTGCCCCAACAGGCTAGTCAAAGACCACGCGGGGGATCTTTGTCTTTGCACTGGCTTGCTGGCATTCTCATGCTCGTGTTCGGTCGGTGCTTATCAGTCGTAGCGCCACTGGGCGTCCCATTTATTGTGACGCATGTAGTCATGACACCGTGAGGTTTATTACGTCTGTGTCAGCAAGATCGATGTGATGGCGTATTACGCAGCACGAGTTACAACAATTTTCAAAAGTCAAAGTGATGCTGTTTACAACTCTGAGCCGGAGGGAAGAAACTCCACGTGCCTCCGGCAGGGGCAAGTCCTTCCAGGAGGAAATAAAATGTTGACTTCACCACACAGAGGCGGATCCAAAGTTCCATCTTTTTTTTTTAAATAGGACTGTAGATTGATTGAACAAATATCTAAATATATTTATTCTATTCGGGGTCTTGAATGGTTGAGGAGGGTGGGTGATGACCTCAATCACACCCCACTCCCCTCCCCTTGGATATGCCACTGCCCCACACAAAGTGGTACACATTTTATCAACCACTGACCAGAATTTGAACTTGTCCCCCCCATCCCTCCCCCCCTCCCCCCTCCCCCTTGTCCATTTGTGAGCTGCTCGCTCTCCCACTGGGGCCGGTTGCCAGAACCACCTTGCAAAATGTCTCTGAGCCGCATTGGAAACGCGCGGAAAGGTGACTTGTGCCACATGCTCATTACTTTGCATTCAATCCCACCGTGAAGTCGATGCAGTTCCATTTTTCATCATAAATTTGATTCATGTAAAGTTTCACGGGGATACTATCAGCCAGGTGAACGGAAGGACGCACAAAGGCGCGTAAATATAACGACATATGGCATTCAATAATGTGTGTCAGAAAGATTAAAGTGAAATTCGCTTTTAAATATTTTTTGTTACATTTTTGTTTACATATATATACAATGAGAGTGGTGGTGCAATGTCTAATATACTGTGCTATGAACCCGGTAAAAGCAGACTGATTTTACTAACAAAAAACTGTCAATTAAATATGGATTGAGTGGGAGCCCTGGCACAATATGTTGAGCGCAAATCTGCGATAAACCCAACGACCTGAGTTTGATTCTCATCCATGAGTCGCATCATTGTGAGAAATATCTGAAGCGATCCTGAGCACCCCTCCACCCCCTAGCCTCCTCTCTCGAGTCACTCACAATGACCAACATGGCGATGTTCGGTCAAACAACCCCAACCGTTGCTATATAGAGTGGGGGAGCCCTTCATCCAGCAGTGGATTGACAAATGGACTGCAAATTATTATTTATTGATATTCATAAATAGTAGATGTGAACCACGCACGATTGCGCATGCAAATCAGAAAATGTGTCGGTGTTTAGTGGGTCATTACGTCTTAGGATCATTGGCGATGGTGGCAGTTTTGGGAGGCTTTCATCCAGCAGTAGATTGACAATGGCTACCGATGATGATGATGATGACGATGATGTAGAATTTTTTTTAAACATCTGCCATACCTTAAAAAAGGCCTTCGGGATATACCAGTTTGCCCACGTGCTGATTTGTTTTGTCTTCGGAAGATATGAAAGTAAATGTATCCTAACATTAACATTTCACGCCATAGCAGGGAACAATGTAATCTGAACATTAGCGGTCAGCTTTTGTTTTAGCCTGAGAAATATCCTCACGATTAACACACTTTGTTGGCAAATATCGACTGCCATCTCCATTTAGGGTGCACAGCCCTTGATCTATCCGCCAATTTGCCCGACCATTAAGTGAGTTGCCTTGGGTCAGGAATCAAAGAATTGCTCTTGCATATGTCTAACTAATATAAAGAGGATTGCCTGCCAAAGCACGCTTGGCCATTTCATTTTAATGACGGTGGATTAAAGGCACTGCTGTCTCTCTTAACAAGTTCCAGTAAAGCCCTCTGGATCACGCTCAAGTCGTCAGCTTTCCTCTGCCCTAATCACTACACTGCAACTGTCTTCATTGCCCCTTCATTCTTTGTCGTATCGCAGACGTGGCATTATTATCAACCGAACGCATCGCGCGTGCAACGTGATTTGATCAATTTAGCATACGATTCTTTTAATTGGAACGGTTAAACAAAAAATCAGGACCCTCGCAAGAATGCTAAATAGGCACACGTATGAAAGGGCTATTATCTGAAGCTGCGATAAATTAATTAACCTGTCAAGTCAAAAGAGTGCGAGCTGAACTCCTGCTGAACAGGTCCAATATCCATTAGTGGATTGAAGCGACTCAGCTCAATGATAACAACCAAATTCATCATTGTTATTTTTATTGTACAATCATAATGTTGGCATGGGATTATGACGTGTAAAAGCCATTTGTTAACAAATGTCACACGTGTGTGTCATCTTTCTAATTATGTTTTACTACTTTGCATGCATGCTTCTTTTAGATGCCCTGTGCACTTGCAACACAGTATACGTGCTTTACTGATGGCGAATGTGAATATTCAGTTGCTGGAATATTTAAAGGATAAAACTTTCCATGTGCGTAAACATATACTGTACAGATGTGAAAAAATAATAATGTGCAGCCCTTCATCAGTTCACCACTCGATGAAAGTTTCCACATGCGAAACCAGATATGGGGATTGTTTGACCATACTTCACCACACTTGTTATTCCAAAGAGATGACTTGCGTGTGATCAGGTGTTTGGACTTAATTACACACTGGTCAGCGTGGATTGATGAAATGTGATGACCCAACAATGGTGTAGATGTCACTCCCTACTAACGTTAGCCACGGCTGAGAATTGAACCCAGGTCGCCGGGTTCATATTTCTAACCACTGCGCCACTGCTCCAACTCGCTTGAAAATGAACATACAAGCTCCGAAAAAAACTTTGAGTTTTAGATTGCAGAGACATGCTACTCGTTATGAACGTGGATTCTGGCGTGTTAACTTCCAAGCGCTCAAAACACGATCTTTGTCCTAATTACAAATGCACTTGCATGCAGATGGCAGGCTGGAGTTTGTGCTGATGCTATCTTGCAATCGTCCCGCTCACGCTGAGTGCTCACACCGAGAGACTTGACAATGTGAGTTTAGGCTCGCGCGGACACTCGAAATTAAATCCAGCACTTGTGCACTTTCATCGTTATATGTCATCGCTAAATTGCTTTTCATTTTCCGTACGCTTCCCTTCCACGTGTTGCACGCCCTAAGGTATGAAATCACCTACGATTAACGTTGGGCGAAATTTTCATCCGTGGACATTCCCAATGCACGACCCCTCCGCTATCCTTTCTCATGAGAGCCCTGCGAATCTTAACATCCTCAATATCTGAAGCAATTCACCGACGTCCTTGAAAGAGTATATTCTCTGTTTTTCGGATGTTTCATTCGAAATAAGAACGTAAAATAATATAACATTGCGGTTAAGATACTGAACATAATAAGAAAGTGTGTCCCATACGGATTTTGTGGAATGGTACTTCATTAGAAATTCCTTACACTTTTAATTTTATCATGAAATATACCACTAAAGTCCTTGACAGATAGTGAACTGCAGAATTTTTTTTCAGTTGTTGCTATAGACAATGCATTTAAAAATGAAAAATTGTAGAACGTTGTAAGTTGATTCTTTCTCTTCTTTCTCTTCTTCCTCTTCTTGAGACAGGTGACCGTCGCGTTTGCCGAAACGGATTGCTCTGCCGTCCCGTCGGCGTGAACGTCAAGCCGGCCGCATCCCCGCCGCGCAGCCATTGGCAAATTGCCTGGGCCCTGGCAGCGTGGCTCAAAAAAGTCAATTCCCTTCGCGAGTTCCCGATGGCAGAATTTGCGACATCATTGATGCGACAAATTGACACGGAATCATTTGGGATTATGAAAATGCCTTCGGCGCTCTGGAAGTTTCTTTCTATTATTTTCTTGTGTGTTTGTGAGCCACGCATGACCAACTGAATTTATCCCCCCCCCCCCCCCGCAAGGACGTTTGCCCATTAAGTGCCGTGTGGAGGCGTTTGGATTTTAGCTTGGCACCATCCGGCAGAGCGGTGGCGCCCAGTGGTTCGCGCACCACACCATGAACCTGGCGACCTGAGCTCAATTTTCGAGCCGTGGCTAACATCGGCGGTGAGTGACATCTGAATCGATCCTGGGACCTCCCCGTTCACCAAACTTGCATGAGCCAGCGTGGTGAAGTATGGTCAAATAACGGCAGAGAGCGAAATACACAGGGAAGCATTCATCCAGCAGTGGATTTTCCAATGGACTATAAATTATTGTGAATTGCCATTACATGCACCGTGCACCTAGAAAGGCATGGAATAGGAATCATAGCATTGGCACATCGTGTGGATTTGCATTTTAGTCTACGGCTGTTGTGGACAAAATCTAAAACAAAATGTACGTGACTGGTTTGTGATATTTCGTTGCTTTACCCTTAGTAAGTTAACTTTGTATTTTACTAACATTTAAATAATTGGCCCGATTATTATCCCCGACTGACTAGAGCGTGCAAGTTGCACTTATTCGTAAAAAAAAAATTTTTACCACGCGAGCATAGTGTTGTGTATTTTCTTGTCGCTCCCACCATTCGGACTGGCAGCGCACACTTATTTTCTCCCCAGTGCCCGCTGTCCGTAAGCACGACCGTGAGGAACGACCGTGGTGCCGTGATCGTCGTCCCGCGCCGTGGGCTGTTCTGCCGCGACAAACGCTCCTACCCCCACCACGACCATAACCCCCTCTACTCCCGCTGGTTCTTAAGAAGCACGAACAAACGATCTTCTATCCCGCACAGTCGGCAGAGCAGTCGATGCATCCCTTACCGTAGACGGTTATCTTGCCTTGAGCCGTGTTCCTTCCAGCGGAATTCGCCGCCTTGCACTCGTAGGAGCCAGTGTCCTCTGGTTGAACGTTCGGGATTTCAAGGACAGCGTTCGACTTGGACAGCACGACCTTGGTGGGTAGATCTCCATCAATCTTTCTCCAGGATATCCGGGGAACGGGGCTGGGGATGAAATAAGGACGGCGCTTTACCTTAAGGCCACGGAAACGCCACAGTTGCGCTCGATTCATCACCGTAACTCAAGCCACGGCAAACTTGTTTTTTTTCCGGCTTGTACCGCTAACTGCTTTAATTTGTTCGAAGCCAGACAACTTGGGCTCGCGTGCGTGTGCGCTCACAATGAAAAGCTAACTCAATCGTGTTATCGTTTTGGCGTAATTATTTGTGGAGGGGGAAAAAAACGTTTCTCCCTGCTGGAATCAAGTTTTGGTTGGCGAGTTAGCGGTAGACATTCCAATATTCACATTTTCAGAGCAAGTCTATCCATTATTATATCACCAGCAAAGTGACGCTCAGTTTAATGGCTCTGGAGGGTTATTGATAGGTTGTGTGAACGTGCAGCCCAATGGTTGTTAGCACATTTCCACCTCGCCAGATATCCCTTGCACACCACGCAATGTACATTTTAAATTCTGATTACAGGATTTGTGTCGGGATTAATATTGAACTGTCATTGTTGATTAATTGGCATGATTAATCCGTAAATTAGCATTTTTAATAATAGAAAGTGTCTGTTGTCTAAAATCCTTGCTGATCAGTCAAACTCACAGCTCACGGCTGTGTTAATTTAATTATTTCAATAATGAGCTAATTGTGGGTTTGTTTGTTTATTTATTTGCACTGTTGCGTATTATGCTTCTTATATCTTCACGAAGAAACCTGCCAGCGACTCTGGTGATCAGCTAACCTGGGGATGCTAAATATAAGGCCCCTGATGTTCAATTGTTAATGAGAGGGAAGGGATAAAATGTGCTAAATTGGCCCCGATGGACAACATGTTTGTATTGAGACTACATAGCACTCTTCTGGCCCTTGAATTGTGTACAATAACCAGCACCATAAAGTATCGATTGCTCGATTTACCTATTTAGCGATTTCATAAATAGCCACGATTCATTGTCACGATCGTGGTGAATGACAGTTCCTGTCGTGGCTGTGTGGGACACATGAACCCATTCCATGCAACACCAATTGGAAATAATCAGTTCATGAAAACAGCAGGATCATTGATATTAACCCATGAATTGAGGCATCGTTCTACTCCTAATTATAAGACAGTACTGTATACACAGTTGCCCTGTATCTATAACAATCACAGGCATTTGTCCTCTGATTAAGAATCATGCAAATATCTGAACATATTTTGGGCACGACTCGTACGTGGAATTACGTCACGTTGCATGGGTGCAATATGCAGTATATATATTTTTTCTCACGTGCTAATTATACGAAGCGTACACAGTCCCGTAGCAGGCATGTAATGACACATCAATTCATTGAACCATAAATGCATTCTCGCGCTCGCGTTTGCATGAGAATCGATTGCTCCCCGCTCACATTTGACACACGTCATTAATTCCTGCCAAGTCCTGCGGCAGAGGTGGCGTTGGTGGCGTTCGCAAAGTTAAGCCGAGGCTCAGGGTCCCCCCCCCCCAAGCAGCTCAAGGGACCCCGAGATTCAAAAGAGAGCGAGAGAGAGAGAAAAAAACCCATATCGGTGAACCAAATATCAGCTCCAATTAAAAATCCTCATAAATATGAAAATCTAATGAACAGGGAAAAAGGCAATTACTCATCCCTATCTTGAATTCGTGTCAGTATTTCTTAGGGGTAAGGGACGAGGGGTCAAATTAAGTTCTCCTTTGTGCCCCCAGTGGGTCAGCACTGCCACCCATTACCCCTGCAGCCTTATAGATCCTAACTGAACCACAACGATGGTACAAAACAAATAACAATTGATTAGCAAATCGTATCATGACCTCGAATCGTGCCAATATGTTGAATGATGCGGCGGGGGTGAGGGCGGGGAGCGAATATCCTCTTCTCCACCGATACCCCAGCCAAACAGATCATTTAACACCTCTTGAAAGTAAATCTCTGGCGATAATCGTATTGCGTATTGCAATGTATTTGCTGTCGCGCGACTCTTGTGTGCGCTTGTGTTACCCATTCAATGTGCAAATTATTTATCATATTTGCGGGAAAATCGATAACGTTCACTGGACTCTACGTTGATTGGTGGTGTTTCTTCACAGCCTTTGTGACTTGAACAACCACCCTGATACACCATGGTATACTGAATATTACAGCACAGCGAACTCGATAACCTGATAATCCTATCCTTGAAATGTCCGCATCCTGGACTGATCTGTCCAAAGGTCTATCATCCGCAAAGCGGTTGTTTCTTATTTCCGTAACTTTTTTCAAGAATTAAAAAAGGAGCCACCCAGAAGTGGTGATAAATGCATCACATTATCCACGTGTTGGTTTCTCGTTCTGCAGCACGAATGGAGGTGCCTTTAAAGATCTGCCCCACAGTGCCCACCGCGTGAGATCAGAGCGGAGCAATTTCACTGTACAACCCGTGGCTGATTCATTCTGCCCAGCACAGAAGTTCAAACAATGGTGCAAAGAGTCTTCATACCCGAATACAACGATATGAATGGGTTTTGCGCGGTTAGTCCGTCGGCAGGTCGCGCATGGGATAAAGTCTGGGTACTCCAACCTACCGCTTCCAACGCGTTTTCCAGTGTGGAAGAGTAGGCCAAATACCCTCCGAGAGGGACTCTAGAGCGCCCTCTAGTTGGAGGCACTTCCACCAGCGGTGGCACGAGGCAAGAAATTGCAGGGCTGTGCCTTTAAACGTTCGGTCGACGTCAGCGCCGCAGCGTTTTCATGCCAATGAAATCACCTGCCCAACCGACTTACTTTCCGAGGGCGAAACATTCCAGGCGAGCCATGTCCCCTCTCAAGACGTGCGTCTTCGAAGGGAAGCTGACCTCGATCCGCGGCTCATACTCACCCATGATTCCTGCAGAGAAGAGCGGCCCAGGTCGCTAAGAACGAAGCATTGCGGTTTAACACTTAGTGGCGGTAGGCTTTCGCGACCAATCTTATCTACAGTAGAGGTTTTTGGGTTAGATCGCGTAAATATAGCGGTGTCGTTCAACCCGCCATGGCCCGACACACAGTCAATTAGTAAGGGGTTTGTCACGTAAATAAAACATGCCAATTCGCTACTAGTATAGCACACCGGTGTGTTGGAAAGTAAACACACAACATTTACAATTTGAGTACGACGTTTCGCCAGTAATTGCAACTAGCATCATCAGGCGACAGCCAGAGTTGTGGATAAATCCTGTTTCGTTGCATTTGATGTTTCTTGCTACAACAACAGCAAAAATCCCACCTGAGACTTTTGTGTAATTATTGCAACGTGGAAAAAAATATATATCCTCGCTGCCTTGCATCGCCACTGACCTGAAGGATGTCCCAGCAGTATGTCTTATGCGTTATCTCATTTCTCTTTTCAGTAATCAATATTTGCAGTGCTATATGCAGGTCAGCAGATGTTTGGTTAGTACACACATGCACACAGGCAGAAGGCGGTGAGGTTAGTGAGGTAGGAATTTTTTGTTGTAAGAATTTGAATTATGGAAGATGCAAGCTTCAGTCAAGACAAAATGGGATTCTATTCATCCTGAAGCCATGCTGATGGCCTGGTGAGAGTTGCCACAAATGGTACAAGCTGTCACGAAGCAAATGTCATTAATACATTCCTACAAATTGTATATTTTGCACGGAGGGCAAAGTATGTCAGTTGTACCCATTAAAAAAAAAAACATTTCCTGTAGTTCAAAATAATTATTTTATTTTTTCCAGGAAATCTAAACAAATTATCATCACCATTTTTTCTTGAGGGCACTCTGTGGCACGCTTGGCCGCGTTGTCATCGTTTATTCTGGAATGCAGGCGGACACCACACTGCCGAAATAACAACCTCTGCAGGCAATTTAAACATACTTGCTGTACTGCCTCATACAGGCGCCTTGCGACTCTGTGGGGGGTAGAGTGGGGTGAGGTCCCTCACAATCACGGTCTCCGCGGTCCACCCGCCCCGCCTTCCAAAGGGCCAAATGGACAGGCACGCAATGGGCTGCAATACAGGCATTGCCTTTCTATCGCTTCCGACATTAGACACTGATTTAATGTTTAAGAGCCTTTCAGGTTACATGGTGGTTACAGCGATCGACACACAACCATAATCAGGGGCCATCTCAGCCCTTAAAATTTTTGGGTGTCAATAAAAATGACTGATCCGGCCATAGGAATGTGGAATTTTCACCATGGGCTCAATGCAGGAAATGTAGATTAGCACCGCATTGCTTTTTGCTTCTTTTTTAACAGGTCCGTGCGTGTGTTTTTGAGACCCAGATTGCACGGCAGGGTGGTACAGTGGTACCACTTTTGCCTCGCAGCCAGAAGCTTCCGGGTTCAATTCTCGACTCGGGTGCCTTTCTGCGTGGAGTTTGTATGTCCCCCCCCCAGTCCCCCCCCCCCGGTTTGCATGAAATTGTACCGGGTTGTCCGCTTCCATAGCTAAAAAGTAACATTCAATGTGACTGGTATTGGGAAAAAAACATCCCAAAGTCGAAAGGTTACCTGAAAACAATTCAAATGGGGTTACAGGCAACATCGATACTCCAGTGAAAAAAAGATAGAAAACATGAACAACTCTTCTGAAAAATGCACCTGATGTTATAACAGCTGACCAGGTTAGAGCCTGCGTAATACTTGGAATGCGTGATCCCTGGGGCTTCTAAAGCTATTGCAGGCTTGGGCCTGCGAGGCGGTCAGGAGAAAGCAGTGTTGAGTGTTGTCCCCTTGTGTGCGTAGGTTTTCTCCGAGTACTCTGGCCAAACATCTCAAATAGCAGGGCCCTCCTGAACATATAATCTTGAGAATCAGTGGATGCTTTCCTGGGTTAACGTGTGTCACAATACAAACACTAAATAACAGTGGCGGATACCCAGAGCAGGAATTAGTGCCGTTTCGTTGCGGTGGCGAGATGTTAACTATCTCGCCGGTATACAGGAGGCCATGGGTTCAATTCCGACCCTGACGCCTGTATATTTGGTAGTTTGCATGTCTCTCTCTCCCCATGGTCACCTGGACTTTTCTCCGGGTCCTCCTGCCTTTTCTCTCCACATTTAGAATCAATGTGCATTCAGAGTATTTGGCCGCCAAATAGTCCCGCGTGATGATAAGCCCCTCCGTCGAGAGCTATCACACGTGGCCAGGTAGCTTCTGATCAAACAAAAAAACCTCTACATAGCTCGGAGGGCTTTACCTTCGCGAAAAAAAAAAATCAAAGAGAAGTAAAAGTAAATTTCGATTTAAAGCTTTCGTGACTGCAGCGATTCATCTTCTTGGTTCTTTCGGTAAAGTCACGTAGAATGGAAATAATAAAATAATACAAATAAAACTAAAACATAATAAAATAATGAAATAATAAAAATACAACTGAAACATAATAAAATAAAAAAAGTATTATGTTTTATTTTTAAGTTGTATTATTTTTATTAAATAATAAAATAATAAAAATACAACTAAAACATACTAAAATAATTATTTTATTATGTTTCAGTTTAGTTTTTATTATTTTATTATTTCCATTCTCCGTGACTTTACCGAAAGAACGAAGAAGAAGACGTTAAAGTTTTAACTGTTAAGTTGCGCCCCGTGGGTCGCCCTCACTCACCGCCGGACTTCAGGACGAGCGGTGTGGCGGGGCTCAGCGCTCGCGTGCTCGTCACCGTGTTGGTCACGGCGCACGTGTAGCTGCCCACGTCCGAGTTCTCCACCTTGGCGATGTACAGGTTCCCCGTGGCCTGCGACACGAAGCGGCGTCCGTCTGACTGCACGGTGATCGGGAAGTCGTTGAATACCCAGTCGAAAGCGAGCTCTGGAAAAAACACCGGCGGTGGCAGTGTTTGTGTGTGTTGAACTTCTTTCGCACCTTACATAACCAACCGTGCTGAATCGGCGACGTGGTAGAGGATGGAAGGGAGTTTTCCCCCGCCACATTTAGAAACAACACGAGTTTAGAGCATTTGGCTGCTGTATATTTGCACGTGATAAGCTACTTCCTTGAGCTGCCAATGGGTGGCCAGGTCGCTACTGAAAAGGAGCGACACGTGTAACTCCTCTTCTTGGTTCTTTCGGTAAAGTCACGTAGAAGGGAAATAATAAAATAATAAAAATAAAACATAATACAATTCAATATGTTTTATTTTTATTATTTTCGTATTTCCCTTCTACGTGACTTTGCCGAAAGAACCAAGAAGATGAATCCCTGCAGTCACGAAAGCTTTAAATCGATATTTTTACAGTGTAACTCCTTTCGTGGTAAAATGGAAAAAAAATAGTTTGATGTTTGAATAGTTTCAAAAGAGGGCAATGCACGTGAGATGACAACCACCATGGAGTGGGAGCAATGCGATCAGCTCACACACAGGGATGACGACGATGTGGGAGAGGCCTTCATCCAGCAGCGGATTGAACAGTGGCAGCCGACTATTTTGACAATACTGTACGTTGGCTTCCAATCTCATAAACATCTCCGTGTAATCATAAGCTGTCCTTCTTTGACAGATATGAATGAACACAATTTATTATTAATCATATGAAATATTAAATGTGGTTTTGGGGGGTGGGGGTAGAGCAGTGTCGCAGTGTTTGGTGCATTGCGCTGTTGACCTGAGTCCCTGAGTTTGATTCCTGGCCGAGGCTAATATCACCGTCGAACGACATTCAAATTCGTCTTGGACCGCTCCATCACCAATCCACACGGACCAGAGTGGTAACGAATGGTCAATTAACCCCCCCCCCCACACGATTGACAAAGTACGGGAAACTCCTTCTAGATGGACAACTCGTCTCTTGAGAACTGCTTTTTGTGTTTATTTGTTGGCCTCCATAGGCACCTCCGGTTAGCGCGTTGGAGATGTACGATGCTAAAGAAGTTATACAGACAGACAGACATGGATTGAAAAACAGCTATAAACTGGGAGGGTTGTAATTAAACTGGCCAACACACTTTTTCTGGCATGAGGTATTCCAACGGTTTCAATGTAATTTTGGGGTGCTGATTCCAAATCTTACATCTGTTTTTGTCTATCACATCAGGTTTTAGAGATATCAAATATTGCATTTTCAATAAAAATTGCAGAAGAAAAATATTAAATAAATGTGAATATCTACATACAATGATATTATAAACACACTATCCTAAAAATACAGCACCATATTTTAACACTAAAGCAGTCACTGACTCGCAACAACTTGCAATCATAAGTGACAGAGTTAATTTCGGGTAAAATCAATGAAAATGGGGTATGCCGATAGCATAAAATGAGATGTGATAGAGCAAATATGAGATCAAATTTGGAATCAGCACCCTGAAATTTGTCTAAAACAGCTGCAAAAGTCCAGGCCAGAAAAAAAATGTTTGTTTTGTGTTGACCAGTGTTATTATTATATGTAGTTATGGAGAGTTGTGTGCAGTCGGTAAGAGCATTATGATTAATTATGATTGGCGATTAATAGTTTAGACAGTGTATGGGGGGTGGGAGCAATGCAGTGAAATGTCACACAGAGAGTCTCGTAATACAATAACAACGATACTGAACGACCTAAGCATAGCACAGGCAACAGCCGAGTTCATGGCGATTGCGTGCATGGCAGCAATGCATCTCTTCCTATGAACTAAGCCGCGCAAAGCGGCATTCACTATCCCCGCCAAGACGTGTGATGAATCTGAAAACAATGAACTGATCTAGTGGCAGGTTAGGCTACAGTCTCGCGCAACGGGCACTTTAGCCGAGCGCGTGTGCTCTTTGGTGGACGGGTGACTTTTTAAGACTGGCACATTATGGGAATTATTGACGCAACTTTGAAATATATTTTGGCCAAGGTGATGGATACTGCGCTGCCGGGACGCGTGTGTATAGCCTCGCGTCACTTTAACGGCGAGCCCTCAAAGTTACGGTTTGGGGAGGTAATTATTTTCAATAAAAAAAATGCACCGCTGTGCGCCATCCTTAATACCGTGGCGCATGCCCCGCATGAATGCGTGTGTGACACGAAATTAGTTGGTGATGCTCCGTTGGCAGTGGTGCAGGAGCACAAGTAACAAGCAAAACAAAATCAACACATTCATCAACGAGACCGTGCGCGCCCTTAAAAATACAATATATATAACAGGCGACGTTCCGGGCAATGGGCCTTCTTCACAGTACATACATGGGTACAATGCACACACTATGAAGAATGAGCCATATCCCAAAATGTCACCTCTTATATGTGATCATTTTGAGGCAGTGTTACTGACCAATGTGTTAATTGTATGATATGCGTAAGCGCAGCATTATGAAACACACATGCACTAATGTGTGTGATTGTAAATACATGTCCCATCAACTAAATGTCTCACACATTGCATTGTGCATATTGCGCGTGTGTAGGCACGAGTGGATAACACGGCGTTGCGAACCCAGCGGTCTGAGTTTGATCCTCAGCCACGGCTGAGATCGGTTACAAGGGACACACCTGAACGACGTTATTGTTTATACTGGTAGGAACCCACTGGTTCCACCAGCCCACAGGGGATTATTGTGTCCGTCCGTCGTGCAAGGAGGGTCTGGGTGGGAAGGGAGGAACTGGGTGGGGAGGGGAGAGTGGGGAGGGGCTGGGTGGGGAGGGTTGGGCTGGGTGGGGAGGGGAGGGTGGGGAGGGGCTGGGTGGGGAGGGTGGGGAGGGGCTAGGTGGGGAGGGGTGGGGCTGGGTGGGGAGAGGCTGGTCATCCCGTGGTGCCCTTATAAAACTCAACGTTTAACCTACTCACGCCGGCTTGTGCCCGCCCTCACAGTCGGGCATATTTGCGGAATACACCACGCCGCCGTTGACCCTGGCCATTGACCGAGCAACCCAACGTTCCTACCAGCTCCCTCCGCAGGAGGAATGTGTTTAATTCACAAACGTACTGTCAACGCACTTCTGGACGAGAGCCTCCCCACACAGTTGCAGGTCATGGGAGTTTTAGACCGTACATCAGCACGCCATTGACATGGGAGCATAGTACAGGACAATAATTGAATCAGCTACACTACCCTCTGCTGACGACAATGGAGCCCCGCAGTAGCCCACACAAAGTTGTTTTTTTTTGCATGTTGGTCGTCAATCCGAGGTGCTAGCCAGGCTCACAACAGCTTAGCTTCAGGGATGAGGGGCTATCCCAAGTGATTTGGTCACAGACGGAGTCGTACTTGCGCACATACCGTAGCACCGCGCACGTGTGTGCTTCGGCCAGTATGGTGCACGCATAATACGCTCGCTGCAGGGACGAGTAATGCTGCCATGTGATTAAGAACAAGACTACAACTGCGAGGAGCAAAGGAGTGTGGTGCCAAGGGGAGGTTGAGACCTTGGCTCTAACCCAAGCTTGCACCTGGCATACCAATTACGCAACGCGTTAAATCCTGCGGTGGGGCAGCCGCGGCCGCAGTCTAACCACGATGCTTCAGTGCGCCACGGCGTTGCGCACCGCTTGTAGTGAGTCCTGTCATGTGTTTGAAAGCCAAACGCTGCATAGTGCACACGGACGTGATAAACAGCCAGTCGCATCGCAGACGCTTAGTCAGCCCCCCATGAAAGAAATGCCACGTTTTTTTTCGCGCTGACCTTGTTATTGCTTGTAAGAATACTAAAGCGCGCTTTCCGTAATGTGCCATATGCACTGTGAGATGCGAGGCCGGATAAAATCTGTAGCCGTTTGCAATTCAATAGAAAAAAAACTATTTGGCAAATTCAGTATGAGTGTAAGCATAATAACCATTTGTTTAGCCAGCATAAGCCTCACTGAGTCTCAGGACTCATTTTCGAGAACGTTCTAACATTGAGGGTGTTTGGACAATTCCTTTCACGAGTGTTTGGCTTCACGTGGGAAGGAAACCAGTACTCCCAGAGGAGCCCCCACTCACTCACACGAGGGTGTGATGCACCATACTGCGGCCATCTCATAGCCACCTTGCAGCCCCATGTCCGCACCATGTATGAATGTATGTTTGTTTTATTGCCAGAAAGGGTAAAACCAATTCTTACATTGTGATAGCGGCAAGGGGGGTCCCATGATGTAGCTGCTCGCCCAGAGCTCTCAATGTACTGGTAGTGGCATTGTCTTTGTGCTGGTCGCCTTTTGGTGTGCTCTGGTCTATCACTGTTTCAAGCGCATTTATTTATTTATTAGGTATATCCCTGTGAGCCATTCGGCTCTTGAATCGGGTGCAACCGCAACAAACAAAAAACAAAAACATGAACAAGAAAACATCTTAAAGTGAATATGTGACGATCTTCCCCGAGCGGTCTGCGTCGAACAAACAAGCGGACGAAGCCATCGAAGGCGAGCGGGCAACTCAAGTCCATCGGCATCGAACGCTTCGTCGATTGAGCGAGCGTCGTTGTTTGAGACTCGGCTCTAAAGAAAGTGGTCTCTGGTGTGGACCAATCTATTCAAAGACAATGCATATACTACCAGAGCATGTTTTTTTGTATGTTCACCACTAGTATATGTGGTTAATGCAGACATCATTCCTTGCAACGAGGTTTCTGTTTGGTCAGTTTAACACGTAGCAGGCTTTCGCGACCAATATCATTCATTCTAGATTTGAAGCTTTCGTGACTCCAATGATTCATATTCTTAGGTTATTTCGGTAAAGTCACGTAAATAAAAAAATAAAATTAATAAAAGTAAAATAAAATAAAAATCACGACGTTTCGGAGGCGACACAAGCTTCCGTCTTCAGGTGGAACCGTCACAGCACGATTGCTGTATCAAGTAAGAGAAATTCCAAGAAAACCGTCCTTGTATATATACTGGTTGAGATATTATGTTAAGGTGAATGACGA